GCTCTGGGCTTCGGGGGAGATGGGGACTAAAATGAAGGTAGGTTTTATCTGTGACATAGGGGGGCAAAAGGACGTGTAAGGGGTGAGGTGACCCTGGCTGGTCTCTGCTGCTCTGTCCTTCTCAGGGGGAGGGCTCCTGACTCTTCCCCTGCTCCAGCATGGAGGAATTCCTCCATGGGCTGTGGGTGGATCTCTGCTCCCCAGGGACCTCCCTGGGCTGCAGGGGAGTATCTACTCCAGCACCTCCTGGAGCACCTCCTGGAGTAGCTCTGGCACCTGGAACACCTGGAGCAGCTCCTGCCCCTCCTCACTACCTTGGTGCCTGCAGAGCTGCTGCTTTCTCGTACTCTCCCTTCTCTCCCTCAGCTGCAATGGCACAGGGTATTTCCCTCCTTGTGTTATCCCAGAAGTGCTGCCACTGTGGCTGATCAGCTCAGCCTTGGCCAGCCAAGGATCCATCCTGGAGCCGCTGGCATTGCCTCTATCAGACATGGGGGAAGCTCATCACAGAAGCTTTTTAATGTAGTTGGAGGTGTATGACTGCAATTCAGCTAGAATGTTCCATTGAATGGCTATGCAGTGTAATCAGTTATTCATTCTTCTATATTAAAAGCATTTTGATACCTTATGCAGACAAACCATAGACACTATGGTTTCAATATTTATATTGTCAATCCACAGCTGATGAGAAAACTACAAATTATCTTGATGCAAAAAAATGAGGGTGTTTTTAACACTTGCTGTTAGATCTGTGCTAGCTTACTGCAGCCAGCAGTGATACCAGCTGTGAAGTGTGGTAGCAAAGCGATCCTCACTGCTAGATTAAGCATAGCACATTTTGTAGTCATTCCGTTTATTTTCCAGTTGATGTGTTAAAATTCACCTGTTAAAATGATAGCTATGAAAATGAACTTTTTGTCGTAGGTCCAGATTGAGTCAATTGAAGACATTATAAAAGGAATCTTTGCTGAAGGAACAGGCAGCTATGAAGTCTCTCAGGTAAAGTTCACCTGCTTTCCTTAGTTTTTATCTCAGGGCATTTGAGAATATGCCTTCTATGGATGTTTGAGTCAAGTTCTTTCAAGCCCAAGAATGAGAAAGGGCTGAAAAAGAGGGGGTAATGAGAAAAGGCAGTCTAAGTTAAGTTGGCAGGTTTTATACAGATGGTGCAGCAGGACTCTTCCTGTCAAAACGATACCAAGTGTCTGTGAACAGCTCAGAGGGGTTTGGTGTGCCAGCCATGTGGTACCTCCCTGGGTACAAAAGCTGGCTGGTGTGTTAGAAGTTGTGTCATTTGAGGGGAAAATGCAGCTCAAAGCATCAATTTACTGGGGAATTATTTAGAAGAAGAAATCAGAAACTCTCCTATTAGTAACATCTTAGTTGTGCTTCAAAAGCAGATGAGAATTGTTTTTGCAACTCACTTTTACTTTTGCACAGTGCAGCTGCAGCCAATCCTGAATGATGGGCAAAGCATTTCATTTTCATTCCAGAACTCACTGTGTGTTAACCTCATGTTCACAAAATGAAAAATAGCTTTATCCAATTCAGGGATTTAGATTTTTATTTGACGTGACAAGCAATAACAACAACAACAACAAAAACCTAAGCAATGCCCGGAGTGTTGTTGTGGGTTTGCTGGTGTTCAGATAAAGCAGAGTAGAGTCTGTCTGCGGATTTTCACCAGTCAGAAAAAAATGCTAACAGCTTCTTGCACTTCAAAAGCCCAGAGGCAGTCAATCCTGTTGGAAATTATGTATGAAACATAAACAAGTACTAGTTCTAAAAGCAAAGTTTGGGAAGCACATTTGGAATATGCTATGGGCTGTATATGATTTCCTTTCTATGACTGCCTGTTCCACATTCCTTCTGAAAGTCGAGGGGCTGGGCTCCTGATGGTGTACTGCTGCACTATTTTTTTTATTTTTGGGTCCAATTCTCTCAAATAATTGTCACTGAAAGATTGGGAAGAAAGCAGCAACAAACCTCCACCACTGAAAATGAAAGGTACAGTGTGGCCTACAATAAATCTACTAAACTTGGTTGCAAGGCTTTTCCTATTAGGTCTGTTATGTGTTTTTAATTGTTAAGTCCTAAACTCATCCATTTCCTGGATAAGCCACAGTAGACATGTGCTCTGTCATATATGGCTTACATGATCACTTGCCTTCAAAACTTTGTTTTCCAGCTCTGTATATCCTGTGAATAACTCAATTAAATTGTGGTACTCTGCCTTGAAATGTGCTTTAGAAGTTGTAGTTGCAGCAGAAAGTTCTGTCCTGTCTACAGACCTCAGCTCAGTTCCATCCTTGCATTGGCTCCACATTCAGTAATACACCACTATATGGAGTCAGCAGTGTTCTGTTCACTGTTCCTTTTGATAAAATAACCTGTTAATATAGTACCACCTGTTTAGCAATGAGGAGGATTATGTACTTAAAATGTTCAGCTGAATAATACATACAAACATCTGACATTTGGCCTGCTCTGAGAACAGGCGACATGCTTATTTAACGATTTTGAAAATGTTAAAATGGTGAGGTAGAAATTAAATGTCATTTTAAAATATTTGTATTTAACTTATCTGATTCAGTCCTATTCTACATTTCCCCTTGGCATATTCATACAGGGGGTCATGGTAGCAGTCTGACACCACAGATTCTTTGAACGATATACTGAACATTGTTGGCATTTCAGCCTAATTAGTTGCATCCTATTTTGTGATTTGTCTTTGGTCCTTTGGGTTGCTGGCCCAGAATTTTTTTTGTAACCTTTTTTTTTTATGCTCATCATTGTCTCATTTTAAATGTCAACAGACCAGTATTTGTGTAATTGATTTTTTTCCCCTTCTTTTCTCCCCAATGCCAGAAAATTTGACAAGCAATTTCTACATCTCAGGCAGCCTACACAAGAAAAATACATCCCAGGACTGAGTGACAAACACAAACTAATCCAGTCTGTGCAAGTCCTGAGTGCAGCCACATATTTTTCTGGCTAGTGGTCACTTACCCATAGATCTGAACCAGAATGATCTTCTCTGGGACTGGTTTAATTATTTGTGGTAGCACTGGGCCACCCCCAAAAGGCAGATCTGCATCTTCTATGTTGGGCTCATTTCTTATGCAAAAATCTGCTGGAGCTTCCTTCTCCCTGGGGTCAGGTTTATCATGGTTGTCTGTGATCCTGCTATGGATTCCACTGGAAGAAAATGCTTCACACTGGGCTTGTTCAACTGGGCACCGAGGTTTTATACTTTCCAGAAGGAAAGTCTCCAACTCTGGTTTGCTTTAAACGACCCTCACTTGTGCCCACAGGAATATTTAAATCTCTGGAAGAGCTGCAGTCACTGACATGTGAAGATGCACTGCCAGAAATGGAGGGACATGAGCAGTGCACCTATTGCTCTTCTGGTTTGCTTTTTTTCCTGCTTTGTCTCTGGGCTCTAGGTCAAGGTTGCTCCTTTTGTGAGTGTTTCTAGGTCGTTGTAGCCAAGGTGTGAAGCACTTTTCCCACAGTTGTGCTGCAGGCAGCCAGGAAGGAGAGCCTGATGCTTTTTCCTCCAAAATAAGCCTGAGCTCCTGGCTGGTCCTAAAGTGTCTGTGGTACAGGCAGGGTGCCCTGTCTCACTTGATGCCCACAGCTTGTTGTATGTGCATCCTCTCCCTGCTTGCTGAGGAGGGATCAGAAACAGTTAAGGCTACATATATTTGTTTAAACTGTTCTCTCCTTTGAGCAAAAGTATGTGTAAATCTCCCCTGAAGACTTATACTTCCCTATACTGCCTGACAATTGTGCAGTTACCTGGGGGTAACACCAGAACTCCTGTTATCTGTGTGCCAGCTGCGTGGGAGATGCTCAGTTGTTTATTTTTTGGGGCAGAAAGCAGCTCTGTAACCCGAGGCTGTCCTGTGCCCTGA